AACACCACTCTTGCTTCGGCTGGAACTTCTTGGACTAGCTCTTGATTGAGCAGCATGTCCCTGTACATGAGCACAATCAAAGGTTCTCGTGCACAGGCAGCTTGCTTCAAATCTCCATTGCGTGCTAGCATCACTGCCTTCGAATCCACAATTCCAGCTCCCTCTTCTCCTTTCTTGGCCGAGGCATTACTTGCCTTTTCTTGCTCTCGACGTTGCTGCATTTGGAGTTGATCTCGATATACTTCACTTGGAGACAGAGGCTTCAACACGAACTTCTTTCCTCCATGTTGCAACTTGTACTTATTTGTCACTCCATCATGTTGTGCTTGTCGATCAAATTGCCATGGCCTGCCAAAAAGCACATGTGCAGCTTGCATAGGCACTATATCACACAAAATCTCATCTTTGTAATCTCCAATCTCGAACTTCATTAGTGCCTGCTTTGTGACCTTGATGGATCCGTGATCGTTAAGCCATTGCAGCGTGTATGGCTTTGGATGCTTCAACGTAGGCAGCCCTAGCCTCTTCACCGCACACGCACTCACAACGTTCGTGCAACTTCCTCCATCGATCACTAGAGACAGCAACTTCCCATCAACTACACATCTCGTATGGAAGATATTTTCTCTCTGTTCACTCTCCTCCTTAGGCTGCACAGACAATACTCTCCGTACTACAAACAAGCTGCCTGGAGGTGGTTCCATTTCCATAGACTCATCGACATCAGAATCGGTGGTCTCTACATCTTCCTCCGATACATACTCACCATTATCAAGCAAGATCAGGGTCTTCTTATTGGCACACTGGCTCGCAATGTGTCCTCTTCCATGGCATTTGAAACAACGACTTTCCCCCGACGATCCACCTTGCTTCATAACTGGATTTGCACCATCAGCACTTACCGCGGGTCTAGGAGCTTCTTTCACGGGCAGTTGCGGCTTAGGGTTGGTTGCAACTCCTTGGCTCGAACGTGTGGAATTCATGGAAGGGTTGAAACCTCCTATTTCGAAGCTGTCGTTCCACTTTACTTGCCATATCCACCAAATCTTCAAGTTCAAGGAACGGTTGTATCTCCACCACGTTCTTGATCTCTCGATTGAGACCATACAGAAAACGAGCTATGGTAGCCTCGCGGTCCTCTCTCACATCAGCACGTATCATCAACACTTCCAACTCCTTGTGATAATCTTCAATGCTTTTAGTTCCTTGCCGGAGAAGCTGGAGGTTTTGATACATATCTCGCAAATGGGAACTCGGTACAAACCGATCCCTCATAATTCCTTTCATCTCATCCCACGTCTCAATAGGACGCTGCCTGTTTCTCCTTCGTTTCGTTCCCAACAGATCCCACCAAACAAGTGCATAATCCGAGAACTCTAGGGCAGCCAATGTCACTTTCTTCTTCTCGGAGTAGTTATGACAATCAAACACTCGTTCCATCTTTCGCTCCCAATCCAAATAAGCATCAGGGTTCGTGGTACCGCGAAAAGGTGGAATCGTGACCTTGAGGTTTCGCAAATCATCATCCTCCTCAAAGCCCTCTTCTTCCTCGTCATTAAACTCCTCTTCATGATGTTGCTGCCGCCCTCTCCTTTCAGCTCGAGGCATTCCAAGGCGTCTATGCTGGCGCATATGACGCTGTACTTCGTGAACCAAGGGTGGAGGAGCTCGGTTTTCACTTCCCCTTTCTTCTTGTCGAGGTCTAGGGTTAGGGTTTGCATCGACCACAACCGGCTGCTGGAGCCTTGTCTCGACAGCCTCCATCCTCGTGGCTTGCTCGGCAAGCCTTGCGGTTTGCTCTTCTTGAGCACGAGCAATGTTCTCCAATTGATTTCTGATCGCTTCGAGTGCTGCTTCCATGTTTGCGATGCAAGAAAACTCCAAGAACACAAGAACTCGCACAACCTGCTTCTTGCCTCGCAAGAAACACCAAGAACTCCCAAGAACAAACAACCTCCTGTCTTGCGGCTCAAGAACACGCCAAGACCTTCAAGAACTCGCACAAAACCACCAAGAACACAAACAAGAACGCACAAGATCTTCAAAAAAAACTTCAAGAACACGCCACTGATTTGAACGGGGCTCTGATACCACTTGATATAATCAAAGTTGCGCAGGGTCAAGCTTCTCGAACCAAACAGAACCGGATAGGATGGAAATCGATCGGACGGTACTCACCCGTGAATAAGGGCAATCGATATATGAATCGATCGGACAGATTCAACTCGGAATAAAGGGCAATCGATATGGGTAGCTCGCCACAACCAGGGTGATTACCTAGCTGATAAGAGTCGCTCTAGCACTCTGGAGATTCTCGACAGAGTAATTAGGGCAAATTCCGCGTAGGAACTCGGCTTTAGCCTCTGAAATTCAATAATAATCGTCTAAGGGCAAAACCAACGTGTTCAGCCCTTTAAATAGGCAAAATACAACCCAAATCCGACTCCAACATGGAACAACAATCATAAACCGACTTTAAAACAAGGAAACTCGGAAATAGCCCAGCAAACCCGTTAAGCCCAAACCGTTAAGCCTGGACCCGTTAAGTAAACCCGTTAAGGCTGGACGCGTTAAGCAAACCCGTTAAGGCCGCTTCTTGCAATCTGCCTTCTCTTCAGCACTTCCTCCTTCTTCCTCCACTCGAATCATCATATATGGCTTCCCTCGAAATAGCTCCACATCCATGGCTCCAAAGTAGCTATCCAAATATGTCGCAAGCTTCTCCTTCAACGTCCTTGCCTTAGCACGTGTGACTGGCCCATTGATGTCCTCATCAGAAGATAAGTATGGCAAAGTAGTTGCATAAATTAGAGGTTAGAGAATTAGGGATTAGAGTTCACCTATTAGAGGTTAGGGTATAATATCATGCCCCAAAAAACTTTGGGTCTAAATAGTAAAACTCAATGGTCGTATGGTAGTGTGTGTGGTTCAAGTTGGCGTACGCTAAATATTAGTGTTTTGGTTGACAAATTTTAACATAAGTTATAAATGGGACGTGACAGCGACATAATGTATGATTAGAAAACCGAAGCATCAGAAGTGAGTGTGCTAAATATTGGAAATTTTCAATATAGACATACTACAAACTCTTTTATAAATCAAGAACACAAAATATTTAGAATATCCAAAATAATTTAAACATATAAATAAGTTAATTAATATAAATTATAAAATAAATTTCTCCGGACAACAGGCCGGGTAAAAAACTAGTTTATTAGAAGTTTTTCTTATTGATATTTGTAATAAAGCCCCTCACTCTAACCCTCTTCTTCCGATTCTTTTCCCCTCTTGTCCTTCTTCTTCACACCAAAAAAGACTTCTTCAGTTCTTCCTCACACCAACAGAGACAAGCAATCAAGTTCAAGCGTCGATTCCTATTCTTCCCATTGGCCATCGTCCAGCTTTCCAATCGCCATCAAATTCCCCCGTTTCTTCCGGCAACGAAAGTCTTCCACCGTCAATATTTCTTCTTCCCGATGCCGATTCTTGTCCAGTGGCCTGGCATCGTCGTCCGTCGCAACTAATCCTTCCCAGCGCACCAATCCGGCTGTCGCTTGTATCGTCGTTGCTTGTAAAGCTCAATTCATTATTTGTAATCCCCAATTTCAGAACTGGCTGTTGTATCATGACATATGCCCCTGAGTCAACAAGGTTTCCAACTGCAGAGGTGTTAACATATTCATATCACCTGCTTCTGGAAAACCACATCACTTAAAATACCACTACCAGACCACTAAAAATCCAAAATCATGAATGGTAATGCTAGATGCACAAATCCCTTAACAGCCCATTCAAATGAACCATTTGTAACACATTCAAATCTACTGCACGACAGTCAAGTACTTCTCAATTTCCATGGCAATCTGTACTTAAAAATGAGAAACCAAAAAATAAGGGGCTTGCTATTTGCCGCCAAACAAATTGCTATTTGCCGCCAACTAAAAAAAAAAAGGTATATATGTACATCTTTGGTTAAGAAGTTTCACAATCTACAACATATTCAACTTTCAGAAAACGTATTGAATCAGAAAAAATTGACGCTCGCCGGAAAAGTCGCCGGAAAACCATCGGGAAAGCCCATCCTCAACGTAAACTGCGGACACGCATCCATGAATCATCACTAAGCAGGTGCGTCAAATTTTTTGTAGTTTCGAACAATTTTTCCGACGATTTGCAACGAACAAAGGGTTAGCCGAAAATTTCCGGCCGCCGGAAACTTTCGGCCCGGCCAGGTTCCGGCCGCCGGAAATTTTTGGCCCACCCTGTTCGTTGCAAATTGTCGGAAAAATTCGATTTTAGGAGTTGAATTTAGAGTGTAGGAGTTGAATTTAGCGTTTAGGAGTTGAATTTAGCGGTTAAGACTTGAAATTAGCGTTTAGGAGTTGAATTTAGAGTTTAGGAGTTGAATTTAGCGTTTAGGAGTTGAATTTAGCGGTTAAGACTTGAAATTAGCGTTTAGGAGTTGAATTTAGAGTTTAGGAGTTGAATTTAGCGGTTAAGAGTTGAAATTAGCGTTTAGGTTCACAGGAATATTGATGTGTTATATTGTAATTGTAGGAAAAATGTCAGAGTGGTTACCGGCTGATCATGATTACACAGCAGAATTTGAGAATGGAGTTAGCTGAGTTAGCTGCAAAAGCAATCGCTCAGGAGTGTGGGTTCTTTATTATTAGAGGAGCATGGAAACCGAATACTGCTGGACTACATCCTGTTACTGCCCTCTGTATGTATTGCGATAGAAGCAGTAGGATCGTTAAGTCTTATAAACCAGACCCTACGAATGAGACGCGTGGGAATATTAGTTCGAAGGGTACTAGTTGCCAGTTTCAAATATGTATTAAGGAAGTATGGCAAAAGGATGGTCCAATGCATAGTGTTGCGATGCTCTATTTATATGTTGTTGTTTTTCTAGTTGTATTTTAAATGGCTCTAGTGTCATTATGAACTTATGGATTTCATTATGGATTTCATTATCATCATGAAACTCCTCCTCGAGTATGCTCAAGAAACTCCTCCTCGGTCCCTGCTGCTGCTCGAACTGCAGGTGCAAACGTGTACAAAAGGTCTCGAGCACGCTGCACAAAAAAAAAAAAAACAATAACAATTGTTAGTTTCACGCTAAGTATATTTATAATAGAGTAACGGTCTAGTGGTCAAATCTTACCACTGCGGAGTCAACTAGTCGATCTGCATCTCCATCATCCCGTAGGACTCTACAATGAGAGTGCGCCACGAACCAGTCAAGATAGTCGATCGTAGTCTCATATGGATACGTCCTCCAGGGCTGAGAGTACATGTCTATATGAACCATGTGGGATAGCAGAGCATCCCATGCAGCATCAAAACTCTCAGGAATCCGAATGACATATCCACCAGGTGCCTCTAGTGCGGTACCATCTGTCGGTATCCAAACTGTCGGAGGCAACGGGCTGGATCATAGAACTCGCCTATATCAGCGAACCGAATCACTCCAGTGTACAAAGAGCGACGCACTGCCTGATGAGGCCTCTGATGGAAAGGTGTCCAAAACACATCAGAAGGGGTCAAGCTGTCAAGAGCTCGACGGTAGAACGCCAACCTCACACTGGGATCAGCCACAGAACCAGTCGCCGGCTGCCCAATCCATCGTGAAGCCCAAGCCTCATCAGGTCCAACGACAGGTGGCTCAAAGTGAGATGGCCTGAAACCCGGAAAGTACTTGTAGATCCAACACTGCAGAAGTGTGAGACAACCAGCCACCCCGCTGGCACCAGCACGAGACGCCTGACCAAGGCATCTGTACAACCAAGCAAGTGTACCGGACGCCCAACTGTACTGATCTATCTCCTCCAACTCGTCCAAAAATAGCTTCACCACCGGCCGAACCCTGTCTCTACTTTTGTCCACAAACAAAGTGGACCCCAACATCAACAACAAGTACGACTGCGCCTCTGTCACATGTGTCACGTTCACCTGCAAGTATCTGGATGCCATCTCCGCAAGAAAACCACCCTTGTCGTACCACTTACCCTTACTACCAAATCCAGGGGCCTCCGAACGACCACTCAACTGCTCCGAGTTCATCCCAAGAAGCGCACACAAACCCACCTCCGGATGGTCAAGCTGCGCAGAAGTCCTACTCATCAGTCGTCCCTCAACAGGAATCTGCAGTAAGTACTGAACATCGTGGAGGAGGATCGTCATCTCTCCAAAAGGCAAGTGGAAGGTGTTCGTGTCTGGCTGCCACCTCTCCACAAAAGCTGAGATCAAAGCCTCGTCAATCGCTATCTTGCGGAACATAGAGTAGATCAGGTGCTGGAGACCTGACTGCTGAACCAGATCCTCCGCCTCAACATGACTAAACACGTAGCTCCCAAGATAATCAACCACCCCTGTACGGGTGTAGCAACTGATGACCCCTCGATCTCCAAGCCCCGTCCAAAGTGCATAGGAAGCGTGGCCACGGAAGCTCCTAATGAGGCTAGGATCCGTAGGTCCACCAGGACACTCACCAACAAGCTCCCACGGTGGAGGACCACTCGAACGTCCTCCCCTACTCCGTCCAGTCCCCGAGCTCTCTGTCTCCTCACGAGCAGGTGGTACGAATCGCCCAGCTCGGTCCCTATACATAGCAGGACGTGATGTTGCCGTACGATCCTGCACTCGTCCATGTCCACGCGTAGGTGGAGGGACCTCGATATCCTCATCATTATCGTCCTCATCAAACTCAGCCGAGACCACTCTCGATGCAGCACCCTGGTTCCCCCCATGGGAACCAGACGACCATGATGACGAACGAGCAACTACAGTAGGAGCCTCTGACTGATGTCCAATATCTCGAGAGCGCTTCTTCTCCTTATTCTTCTTAGGCACCTTCCTTCGTGTTGATGCATCAACAACCCTACCATTGAATCTACCCAACTCACTCCCACCCGCATCATCCATATCTAATTATCTACAAATTTACACAATATCATACTTAGATGCGCACTAATTAATTAAATTTCTATTAACTAATGTACTATTAACATTAATTGTTAATTAATCACAAATTAATTAATATCATACTTAGATGCGCACTAATTAATTTAATTTCTATTAACTAATGTACTATTAATATCAATTGTTAATTAATCACTAATTAATCAATATCATACTTAGATGCGCACTAATTAATTAAATTTCTATTAACTAATGTACTATTAACATTAATTGTTAATTAATCACTAATTAATTAATTTTCTATTAACTAATGTACTATTAACATTAATTGTTAAACCAATTCTTAATTAATTAATTTTCTATTAACTAATCTAAGTAATTAAAGATTCATACGCCTATTACAAAGAAAAAACATTTATACACCAACTTAAAAAAATATTAACACTAATTTCTAATAACTAATTAAGTAATTTTTTATTGACTAATTAATTAACATATTAAATTAAATACAAATACTGGCCGGCCGGAAAAAATTTGCGGCCGGCGCGCCGCCAGGCAGAAAAAAATTTGCGGCCGGTGCGGCGCCGGGCCGAAAAAAAGTTGCGCCAGGTGCGCCGCCGGGCCGAAAAAATCTTGTTGCCGGTGCGCCGCCTGACCGAATTTTTTTTGCGGCCGGCGCGACGCGCCGGCCGAAAAATTCTTTCGGCCCGGCGGCGTTCCGACCTCAAATTTTTTCGGCCCACCGTGTTTTTCGCCGGAAAACTGGAAAAATTGCCGGAAAATTGAAAAATTTGCCGGAAAAAGTAAACTTAATTGTTTTCCGACGATTGAGGACGACGGGAGGTTGGCCGGCGACGGAGGCACTGGGCTCGTCGACAAAAATGTTTTTGTTGGAATGAGTCAAATGTTATGGTATTCGAATTTATAGGAAGGGAAGGAAGGGAGAATTCAAATTTTGAATTCAACTTTTTTTTTTTTTTTTGGTTGGCGGCAAATAGCCGTTCACAAAAATAATGCATTGGTCCACAAAAAATTTAATGACAAAACCAGTAAGTTCTAATCCCCACCTCCGTCGAAGCTTCTGCCCTGCTCTCCGACGCCCGAGTCTCCCGGTTGATCAAATAAACACTAACGAAAAACTCTAATCCCTCTTGGATCTTCCTTTTTTGATCCGAATCCTTCCCCTGCGTGTATGACCTAAAAAACAGAGCACACAATTCCACAACACAAGACCTAAATCCAGTTCCTTTCAATCTGGAGTACTTCTCGAGTTGCCTGGTAAGTTCATTTGGGTATTCTTGCCTATTCCGATCCTTGATTCGTGTCTCCAGTTTCACGGTGAGTTCCCACCAATTGCCGTCGCTGGTGGCCACACCGTAGCTTCCGGCTACTAATTGAATCCATTAGTCTCCACCTAGCCCAGGTTTGTACGTGGTTTGCTGGGTCCGAGACACCTAGAATAACATTCTCATGTTGGGTTCGGGGTCCTGGTCGGACTGAGATTGAGCGGCGATCTCCGTTTTTTTTTTTTACAGCCGATCTTCTTCTTTTGCTGAACGCGGGAGGCCGATACGATTCTGGTGGAAATAAAGAAAGTGTCTAGTGGAAAGGAATAAACAGATTTGGGGTTTATTATGTTAAATGAATCAGGGGTCTAATTGCAATTATTAATAAATTTGTACCTTTAAAATGAAATAAGGAATAAATTATTTGTTATTATTTAAATATTTGTTCGTCAAATAATTTCAGTCGTTAGATCGATTCGATGGTGAAGATTAATCTAAAAAGTGAGTGCATTCAATGCACCCGCCTCATAATCGTTATTCTGAGCAGGTGATTCATGTGAAAACGATGTCAATCATCACTTGTGGTATGATGAACATGAACCACATTAATTTGTACAAAAATCATTCAAGATTCACTTTAATTTGAATGATTCAGGGTTTAGGAATTTAGGGTTAGTGTTTACAATTTGGGATTTTGGGTTGAGATTCAAAATTGAAGGTTAATAGGTTAGGGTAATGAGTTGATTAGTTGTGATTTTGTGTTATATCATCATATTAGATTAATGCTACCCATTAAATTTCAAAATTTGTTGTATTATGACCACTTTTAGAAGTGGATGCATTCAAGTGAGTAAACCAAAGTAGCCAATATATATAAAATGATATATAACTTCGGCCCAGTTCAATTTCTCCCCTAAAAAAGAGTCCAACACGACTTTGTTCCTGCAGCCCTGCTAGTTTTGGTATACTCTTCAATTCTCCAGTTGTGCTATAAATTTGCTGGGCAATGTAAAGAAATGGATCAAACCTTAACCATATATGGGAAAACACAGGTACGTACTAATTAAAGACCACCCAAGTGTCGTGCCCGGGCCGTGCATGTGTATCTTTCTGACTGTGTTGTACGTAAAATCTGCTGTAAAGAAAGGGGCCATGGGACATAAATATTGAGTACAGCAACCGCATTACCATTGCTTTTGCTTCGTACCATCGATCGTATACTTCTACTCTTATATGAATATACTAGAAAGTGCATGTTTGTGTCATGTCACCCTCGTTGTGGATGAGTTTTACATCATTGTTTACATGCTCATTTGTTAATTTGTTGTGTTAGACCTTTAGATTATATGTAATTGAATGAATTTATGGATTGTTGAAATAAATAATAGAGCAATCACATAAGCGCTTCCGTTTTTGTTTTTTTATGTTATTATCTACAATTGTTCACAGATTGACTAGTAGCATGTGAGGAGATCACCCATGTAAAAACATTTTCCTCGAAAGGAGGATGTGATTCCAATGGTGAAGACTATGCAATAACATTGTGAAGATAAACACTCTCATATAGAGTCTCATCGTCGTTCTTAATAAGTAGAGAAGTTCGTTTGCAAAAGTAGAAGAGCAATGGGTTGAAAACATAATTTTGTTGTAGGAAAATAGAGACGAGCAATAATTTTTTTGGTTTCGGATCTATTGTCATTCTTAAGTGGAAAAGCATGCGAGGAGAATGCATCAAAATTACAATCTAGTCAGGAGTTTTCAAGAAAGAGGAGGATGTGCATGGAGAGAAGACTAATATTGTTCATTGTGAAGACGAACACTCTCCGTTCAGAATTCACCATAATTATTAATTAGAACAATGTTATGAAAACACATAATATAAGTCATAATCATCATCATTTTCTCATCTATTATTACATTTTAAACCGGTATAATCTAACATCCTCATAACCAAGACACCAAGAATAACATTCTCATGCTGGGTTCGGGGTCCTGGTCGGACTGAGATTGAGCAGCGATCTCCGTTTTTTTTACAGTCGATCTTCTTCTTTTGTTGAAAGCGGGAGGCCGATACGATTCTGATGGAAATAAAGAAAGTGTCTAGTGGAAACTAGTCACGGGCCCGGCCAATTGGCCGGATTAATTTTTCATTCACGTAAACAACAGTCGCAATGTATATGTGTGATACGCAATTTAATAATAGTATAAAAAATCTAAACTTTACGAATTTATTGACAACGTAAAAAAAATCCAAGTTATTAAAATACTTCAATCATTCAAAAAGATAATAGTGTTTTCCATCATTCTTACTGCCTTATCAACTAAAATTCTTTTTATGAAAAAAGGAAAGAAACCCATGCATGTTCAAATCACCCTTTTGTATAATGTCGAACCATTCCCATAAGAGGAATTTTACAATGCTTTAAAGCTTGGTGCTTTAGTTTTTGTCTTTATGGTACAACTTGAACTTGTACCTTTAACGTTATGGTACAATTTTAAGTCGTACCTATACTCTTTTGTAAAGATCATTTATGGTACAAACTAAAGTTGTACATTTAAGTTATGGTACAACTTGAAGAGTTAAAGTTGTACCACAACATAAATGTCAAATTCTCTTATGTTACAACTCTAACTTGTACATTTAACTTTATGATACAACTTATAATTATATTTTAAAGTACTAATACTTTAAAGCATAGTAGAAGTGCTCTTCTCACAGAAGTACTCATTTAGGTCTTCTTTGAGAATGGGTGGACAGGTTGCACATCCAGCATAGCACTACCCATTTTAACTTTGACAACTTTGCATTTGACGAAATACATGTTTCCCTACCTATTAAAGGAAGTGTTAGTATTTGATCATTAATAGGTTCTTAAATCGAAATTGATACTTACCTCTTCTCCATATTTTTCATTTTAATTGATTTCGCTCATGTGGTGGTTTGATTAGGATTTTAACTATTGAAGTTTTTGTGTCCCCTTCACTGGAGGAGTTGGTGCATCGCATTCACTTTATAGTTATTAAAAATGGTAATTAATCTGGTTTTCTTTTTCAAATTTCATAATTATAACC